CCCCCGCGGCCCACCCCCCCCCCCCCCCTACGCTCATCTCAAGTGCGGGTGCATGTTTTCTGGCTCGGACGCAGACAGGATTCATCCTGTCAGCGTACGAGTACACTTACCCGCACACGCACGGACGTGCATTTGAGGTGAGTGTAGGGGGGGAGTAAGGCCGTGTAGTCCCATAGAGAAGGACAGGGGCTGCGTACTAATCACATGCAGCACCTGTCCTTCCCGGGAGCTACCCGATACGGCCGTGCAGGCAGCACGGAGCTGTATGTGCCGGCCGATTCCCGTGTGAATGGGGCCTTACACTTAGCGGTGGTGTAAAGTAATACAAACTTTTTTTTATTTAATTATTTTTAATTGACTAGCTGCATTAAGCCATTTGTTGGCCTCAAGTAGGTTTTGCATTCCCACACAAGCCAATGGGAATGCAAAACCTGCTTTAAGCAGGTCAAATGCAGGTCACAAAGAGGTCAACTGCAGGTCAAATGCACCTATTAATGAATTATGAATACTCTCAGAATCTGATATCAAACAGATGCTATTGACACAAGCCCTAAGCATATTCATATAGGCCCTTATATATGTCATTTTTTGCTTCTGGCCATAGTTTCATGTTAATTGTTTTGTTCTATTTTAAACACTTTATATGCTATTCTGAGCTAACAGATTTATTTGATTTCCTGAGACTGGATGCAAGTGTCCCCTTTATACTGAATATAGAGCTAGTTAACAGAACCCTGGCTTTACTACCCACTAGCACATACAATACTGGATTCAGGCTGCTGTTTAAATTCGCTATCACAAACAGAATAATCCTTATACCACGCATGTATTTCATGAAAGAAACGTCCATATTGTTAACGGCTTTCAAATAAATAATTTTGGCTACAGCAAATGGCGTTTTAGTTAGCACAAAAGCCCCAATGAGTATAGCAATACATTTATATAGTTTTCTGGAATTTACACAATGTGATTGTCGTACTTGCAGGACAATAATGAGGTT